GCCTTATAAATCGAATAAACAGTTACTAGATGAACAACATTATTCTTGTGCTGGTTGCTACAAAAATTTTGACGACGGGAAGACTCGAATACAGGAACTTGCACAGACTATGGGGTGGGGAAAACCTCGTTTCTGTGAATATAGTGGTCAGCTGTACTGCTCGTCATGCCATACAAATGATACAGCTGTCTTGCCTGCAAGGATTCTGCATCTTTGGGACTTTAATCAATACCCAGTTTCTCAGATGGCTAAATCTTATCTAGACTCTATCTATGACCAGGTAATGGGAAAATTTCCCAATCAAATTTGACCAAATCTCTGTTTCTTGCCATTCTTTTTGACTGAACAGGCATACATTATGTATCTTCTTTTTTTATATATATAATTAAGCAATTTAATGACACTTGGTCTTGTTTCCTCATCTTGCAATCCAAATATCTTTCTACAATCCAAAAGGATCCAACCAAGGGTGTAAGTAGTCAATGAAAGTGGGTATAACGGCCCTGGAGACTAGGGATTAATCCTAGCAATTAATCCTAGCAGAGACAAAAAAAGCAAAGAACTTGGTGAATTTTGCTCATCTACCTAAACTCTTAAAGTTACATGATACGTAGATAGTAGATACCCGGTGGATTGTTCAAGGTGTGCAATGGCACCGAAAAAGATAAATAACTACGCTTTGACAGGGTTAGTAATACATATGACCTGCTGCTATCATTGGGAGAATCGGCATTAAGCCCCAGCTGTGGAAATCCTCATGTTTTCTCGTCTCCCCCTGGGCTGCAGCCTCCTGTATTCTTACTTCTGGCTCCTTTTCACTATGAGAACGTGAAATAACTGTAGGACTTATGTTTCATTCTTCTGCTCTTGCAGCCAATGCTTTGTGTCAGTGCAGTCAATCCATTTCTGTTCTCAAAGGTCCCAGCTCTGCAGCATGTAACAAATATCAGAAAAAGGATAGGAACTATGCTTCCATTTGTTCGCTGCTCCTTCCAAAGATCCATCTACAGGGGAGTTGGATCTAGAAGATATCTTCTTGAAAGCAATGACTTCTTTTCTCTTAGGGATCTCATAGATCTATCCAAGGGAGTCTTTGCAGGTTAGCATGCAAAACGATATTTTATACTCATGATGCTTAGATACATGTGCTTTGTTGTTAAAGTCCCAGAAAATCTTGTCTTTGGTAGTGACTTATTTTACTTTTATCTTTCTTTTCCATTTTTTTTTTGAAGATTATGAGTGAGGACTATTGTTAGCTCTTGGTTGATCTTATTTGATATTTTTACAGTTATACACTAGCTTGGCCTCCAATCACTCAAGTTGCCATAGAATTGTTCCTAAACTGCACCCTTTTCTTTATTTTGTCCCCACTCCTCTCTCCCTCTAAATCATAGCGGAGCCTGAAAGTACTATTAATCCCTTCTAATTTACATTTACTGTTGCTTTCCAATGAATATGTGAATGTTACTTCCTGCTTGCCAGAACATAGAAAAGAGAATTAGGAGAAATCAGGGAAAGGGTGTCTCTTTAATAGTTCTGACCTGTTTCCCATGTGGCTACATTATTGAGAAAACTGACTTTTTTTGGTCCTATGCTATATGACTTCAAATGCAGCTTTACCTGTTATGGTCGAGACTATATCAAGAAAAATTCTGGAGCATATAGCTGAGCAGTGCCTTATATGTTGTGATGTGGGTATACCCTGCAATGCTCGGCAAGCCTGTGATGACCCCTCTTCTCTCATTTTCCCTTTCCAGGTTGGCAGGGTTATCTTGTTTCATTTATTGATATTTGTTTCTTATTAACATACTGTTTGGGAAGTTGAAGTTAATGAATCACCATTCTGCACTGCATGTTCCAAAAGAATTTAGCTCAAATTCTAAAAAAATTATTTTTTTAATAAAGGTGAATAATTTTATTGACCTAAATGTTGTGACTTAAACTGATGTAATTGTCCACTTCCTATATTTACTTGCATAAGAAATGCCAGACCTTCAAAGATGTAGTTTGTCCTTCAACAGGAAGAAGAAATTGAAAGATGCAAGTCTTGTCAATCAGTTTTTCACAAACATTGCTTTAGGAGGACATCAAGTTGCCCTTGCGGTACTCAATTTAAACCAGAGCTAGAGGGAAATACAAGTAGGGGCAACCATGAGAGCAGTATGGGGAATCTCTCCTTGGCCTTGTCAGGAAAGAAGGCAGACCTCAGTAAAGGGCTTTTTTCTAGAGTATTCTCGAAGGTAAGATCACTGAAATCTAGCGAGGGTGGAGAACAGCAGCCTGAAGATAAGAGTACTGCTATTGTAATGGGCTTATTGCCTCTGACCAACCTCTGAATACCTGTACATATATTCATCCTTGTATCTTGCGTTGCAAGAAAATCATGTGAATTGAAGCTTGTGCTTTAGCTAAGACCTGTAAGAATTGCATATTCTTTCTCTTTTTGTGTCGCTCCATCTTATTTGGTCCTTTTATATTTTCCTTCATTAGACTTGTATTCTTTTGTAATAATTTTCTGAAACAAGGGTGATTTTTTCTTCTATCCATGATCATTTTCTTCTATTATAGCTAAAACTTCTGATCTAATTATACTTTTTGTGAAGTTCAAGAAGCTCAGCTAACTCAGCATTCTTTGGTTTTGCCAATACGTCACGACATAACTTTAGTTTGTATGAACAACTTATCCTACTTATGATAGTCTTTACTGTATGCACTATGCAGTGAGGAATTTGTTCCATCTTTTGTCTATGCACAAAATTTTAGTGATGAGGTTAATAATATATTTGGAGTGATGCAAGTGACTGGTAGTGATAGGACAGAGTTAGCATCCTATCAACTTAAGGATGTAGCTCGTATCTTGTATACTCAATGGAAAGAAAACAGGGGTACAGATGCAGCTCCTATCATTGGGAATGCTTTAGTGAGACTTTTCTTGACAAGTTCTTTCCAAGAGAATTGAGGGAGGTAAAAGCTCAGGATGTCATGAATTTGAGGCAAGGTAGTAGGATCGTCCAAGAGTATGGAATCAAGTTCACCCAAATCTCTAGGTATGTTCTTTATATGGTTGCCGATTCCAAGGCTCAAATGAACAAGCTTCTATATAGGGTATCGACTTACTGAAAATAGAGTACAGGAATGCTATGTTACTGGAAAATATGAACATCTCTAGGCTCATGACTCATGCTCAGCAGGCTGAAGGTGATAAGTTTAGGCAAGATGCTAAGGATAATAAGAAGGCTAAAAAGGTATCTATGACTATTTTCAAAAGAAATAGGGTGGTAAAAATCGTTCGCAGTTTCAGCAAAAGTCTTCAGCTTTAGCGCCTTCATCAACTATTGTTCCATCCTCCAAGTTTCGAAAAAATCAGAACCATCGGATGAGTGAGTTACACGAAAAAGGGATGTTTTGGGTGTTGTCAGTTTGGTCACGGGTTGAGAGATTGTCCTTCTGCTAAGCAGGGTCAAGGAGGGTAACAATAGTAGAACTCAGTCTATAAATTCAGCAGCACCGGTAGGTCGCCTAACTTAGCAAGGTAACTCATCTCGTACAGGTGGCAAATAGCGCCAAAACAGGTTGGATGCTCTCCAGGCTCGCCAAAAAGATTCTCTTGATCTAGTCATTGGTACGTTATGAGTCTTTGACTTAGATGTTTATGCTTTGTTAGATCCAGGGGCTACTCTTTTCTTTGTAAATCTTTATATAGTAGCCAACTTCAATTTTAGTCCAGAAACTCTTGGAGAACCCTTCTTAGCCTCTACTCTAGTAGGTGACCCAGTTATAGCTAGACGGTTATACGAAAATCGCTCATAGTCTCACAAAAAGTCACCTTAGTAGATCTTGTAGAGTTAGAAATGGTAGACTTTCATATCTTTCTAAGCACGGATTGGTTACATTCATGTTATGCCTCGGTCAATTGTACAACTGGGATCTTTCATTTTCAGTTTCCACCCGAACAAATCTTAGAATAGAATGGATAGTAGCTTAGAGCACATAGATGATGAGTTTCTTACCTTAACGCAAAAAAGATGTCTCTAAGAGTTATCTTTATCTTCTTGTTCGAGCTAAGGATTAAAGCTCCGAAAGCCCAACTCTTAAATCAGTTGTAGTAGTCAACGGAGAAGAAAAAAAAACGTCTGCAAATAAGATTCCAATTTTACTTGGGAAAAGGGTTAAAATTATCCTTTAATTTTATTTAATTGGTTGACTTTGCCCTTGCCGTTAAAAATAAGTTATTTTTATCCCTGCCGTTATTGGATTTGAATTCTTGTGTTTTCTGTGTCAAAGAGATGCTAATGATCTGTTACAGTATCGATATACAAGCGGGCAGCATTAATTGGTCTAACTTTTCTCCAATTTGTCCGTGGTAGCAGTATCGATATCACAGACGATTATATTGTATCATACCTAGCATATAAAGAAGGAGAAGAGTTTGACATTTGGGTGTTCAACTTAGCAGATGGCAGCATTCAGCCGCACTACAATGGTGTTTCCCTCAGTCGTTTTTGTCCTCCAACTTGGATAACGCCAACTCTTTGAAATTTTGAGTCATACATACTCATACTTGCTATTGTTTTACTCAGAAGTTTTTGTATGCTATCATTTACCTTCAGAGCTGGTTGATGTATGTTTCTTGTTTTCATATAATTGGATTTTATACCTGCTTGAGTATGTTGTGTTGGAATGCGATCCAAACTTCATTTTTCTTCGTGCCTGAGTGCTGCAAGGTCGAGTTTTACTTGCTCAACAAACTCGATATCCTTTACTAATTTCACTTTTATGGGGCATGAAAAAGAGCTGTCTGATGCTTTCTTTTGGTGTTCCTCATAAAATAGAAAAATTTAGTAACTTTAATCAGTTCAGTTTTGACTGAAAATGCTCTTTGTTTCCCAACATATGGCCACTTCCACACTAGAAAAGTGGAGATCTTCAACAGTAGAATGGGCCATTTCACTATCTATACAGCTTTCTCATTGTCTGTGGCATGTTCATTGTATTTGATATGAGAGTGTAAACATGTTGCATATATATATTGAATAATAAATTATTTGTATGAACTATTGATATTTGTTTCTACATATGTATTTTGCAAACACAAAACTCTATCCCTCTATTCTCTTTTTGTAAATTTACTGCTATTTTGCTACATAAAAGTAATATTCTGTTTCCTTTACTTGTTACCCTTTTTTTCCTTTTCTGGGGAAACAAGCACCAAATACCAATGTTGTGTTGTTCAAAAATTGAACTCATGTTGCCTTTTCTGCTATTTGTTGTAATCTTTTCTCATTTCTCCCTTGGACAGTTTGCTGCCTTTAAGGCATAAAATCCCTGTTTAGCATCATCCTGCACACTGATAAGAGTGAGAAAACCATTTCTTTAACAAATGGTGTTTGAGCTTCATGACCAAAACAAAAATGCCATAGCAAGGTATGTGCATCACCGCCACTGATGAATACCTGAAATGTTCAATCAGAAGAAGAGGGGTTCATTTTCTTGAATCATAAATCTCTTACAGATCAAAATATGCAGTAGACATTAAACAAAATGTGTACCACAGAGGAGAAAATGAAGATGACAGATCAAGAAATGGATAAGGCCACCTGTTTCCATAATAAAACCAGTATTCATTAGTTGTTTCAAACAGAAAAAACTTAAAATGTATTGATTACAACTCGTAAAAGAAGAGTGTTTTTTTTTACCATATTGACATACAGGCATGGACTGCCCATTGAAAAACAACATAAACTGCTGTCCACAGAAAGAAATATCCAATTCGAAACCAAGGGAAACGCTGAAATTCATCGAAAATTATAAGAATCATTCAACTTATGAAGATGATTTTTGAGACCAAATGAGAAAAGTTGGTTCACTTACCAAAGAGTTGAGAGCTGTATCACCAAGTAGAAACACTACATTGATCGAATGCATGTTTATTATCCACTACAACATAAATGTAACATCAATTAGTAACACGAAACGTCTCTGAACTTTATCTACTATAACAGTAAAGCCACGTAGAAGAATACTTACAAAGTTTAAAGTATAACCCCGAATGGTCAAAACTGGGACAAGTATGAACCAGAAAACGCAGTCAGTAAGCGTTACTGCTCCTGCATTCATCTTACATAACATAACAGGAATACAAAAAAAGTTAGTGATATGCAAAACTTGTACATTCATTGTCATAGGATCAAACATAAACGTTTTAATTACTCGTCGATTTTACCTGGAAAATTATCTGAAAAACATATCCCCAGAAATCAGCAATTTGGCGAGAACTCTCTTCTGCATTTTCCATTACCTGTTTTGCAACATTTGAACTAGTGCTACTCTCTACATTCATAGACAATCTTCGCGAACTATACTCAATATCTTGCCTCTCGTTACCTATTACATCGCCACCAACTTCATTGTGATACTGATAACATCCATACATGGAGAGCACAGATCCAAGCTACATTGATATAACAAGAAATCGCGATTAAAAAAAACAGAACAAAAAAGGAAAAATTGATTTCAACTTCAATGTTGCTTGCTATTACTTACCCCAAAATAAATTGTGATCAATGTGAATGTCCACCTGTTTCAGTAGCCAATACAATACATAAGTATATTTGCAAGATTCATAGATCATAATAATCATCTGTATAAACATACTTACTGTGTATAAAAGTAAAAAAGCTCCCCTCCATCAACAACAACATTCATGATTAACAATAACAAGAGGATTAAAAACGCGACGACTCTATATCCAAGAAGCCAACCAGGATGTATGGTTTTAAGACATGGTTTCCAAACTTCATCTTCATACAGAAGGCCAGGGGAGTCTTTCTCCTCTTCTCTCCTCCTATTTCTCGAACCGCGAGGTCCTTCATACTTTGTTATAAGAATTGATGCAAAAACCATTGAAGCAAAAATCCAAATGGAACACAATGTAACCCTCCAATTCAACCAGTAATCTGATGTTGTTGTATCAACTGTCATAGCTGGTTGCCATGAATTTTTTGGTGCTCCTGTTAGAAAACTCATTGTATCACAACAAAAATTTCCCAAAGGGTCCACAAAAAAACACAACACTAAAGAATGTTTCTTCTTTTTGTTCAAAACAATTTGAGTACATACAAAGAATTGAAATCCCAAAAATCCCAAATTTGATTAAAGATTATATATAATGAAACTGTAGTAGTATGGTATTGACACTATATACATTTTGATATATGAAAGTAAACAGAGATTCCAAACTTTCAGCATGCATTTGCACAGAAAGATAGGTTGAAAAAAATAATTTTAATATAATGTTTTGAAATAAAAAAAGAATGGCAAGTTCTTAATTGTAAGCAAAGGAAAGTTGGCATACTTACAGGTGATGTGTAAGAATAGATGCTTTGCTTCTTTGCTTTGGAGGAATCAATTTTTATTTTATTTTTTAAAAAGAAATAAATAAAACATGAAAAAATAAAAAGGACAAAAAGAATGGTGTTCTTTGAGCACAAGCTTCTTTATTTTGTTATCCTAATAGGATTTGCCTAATGGGATTAGTCACTAGTCTATAATCCAATATGCCCATGCAAATTAAATATGAAATTCTTAGACATAGAGGATATGTTGCTTTTTTTTAGTTTTATGATATTCCAAGGTGTCATTGGGGGGGGGGGGGGGGGAGTACCCACCTGTCTTGGTGAAAGGAAAGTTTTTTTTTAGATTGATAGTTGATTTTTCTTTTAACACAAAAAAAAAAAAAAAAAGTATATGCTAGAAGAGGTTTGTTAGCTTCCAATATAGAAATATATAATGTTCTTTATAAAGTTTTTGGAATTATATGATTGTAAAACTTCAGATTTGTCATCTTCACCTGTATTTTTTTTAATTTGTTATGATCATAGTGTTCGAACAACTTTCACAATGAGAAATTGTACCAAATAGCAACACATGTCAACTCTATTGATGAATTTGAATTTGAGACTTTATGAATCTCTACTATTTTATTGACTGTTAAATCACATCTTTAAGATCAATGTTCACTAGTTTTTTTAATTTATTATAATATACATAATTTTTTAAAAGTATTTGGAGTGATTATTCCCATCAGTCCAATAATTGGGTTATTTGCTTAAACTTTTAATCTTATATTCCCAACTGATAGATTCCATTGAGTTTTTCTTTTAAAAATAATAGAGATTTTCTCAAGGAATAATGTGCTACCATTATAACATTGGAGGCTTTAATATTGAAACGTATGATCATCTTATATTCAATTTTGAATTCAACAGTCAAATAATTTAACATTACGATGGGGACATGTTAAAAAGTATAATGAAGTAACTATAAGTGAATACCCTCAAATATTTTAATCGTTTAGATGAGATGGTCAACATTTAAAAATATCAAAAACCTTATTGTGGGGAAAAGGTGAAAATAAGACAAATAAGGAAAGAGCATGATATATGATGTTTCAAATTTCAAAATTCAATCATAAGAAATGAGAAAATTAAGACAAATCAGGTAGGGCCCACACTCCTAAGCCCATATTGTTAATTAGTCATGTGGATTGCGTACACGCTATCAGGCCCAAATACGTAGACTTTACTCTTTAAGCCCTATGTTTTAAGGTATTTTTTGGACTCTTGTCGGTGAAGGGCCCAATTAAATACCTCTATTTTTGTCCCCTTTGTTTTGGGGCTTAAAGCTTGATTCTCAAGCAAAGTTCAAAGTCTATATTCCCACTATAGTTTGTCTTTTCTTCCTTCATTTTTTTCCAATAAATTTGGAGGTACTTGTTACTATATGATTATTAGAACAAGTGCCTCTCGAAAAAACCCACCAAGATAGAGATAAGGTCTTCGTATATGTTATTTATGAAGTCTTGTTGTTAACTTGTTATTTAAAGCGCATCAAGAATTTGCACATGCATGCGTTAAATTGCAGCTTAAAGAAAACTCACACATGAACCTCCATCCAACGACGAAGTAAGAATTTTTTATAAAATTATTCAAAATATGTAAAAGTAAACATATAAAAAAAAGTTGAAGGAAATTCAACAATTACTATATATACATAAAATATAATTTTAATCATTTATGAACCCCTCGACCTGGCTCCGACCTCAGACCCGTCCCATCTCAAGATAAATAATAAAAGGAAACTCATTAGTAGTTGAAACGTAATTTAATCTCAATGATTAACTTCCAAAGAGAGGAAATTAGTTCCGTAATTAACTGGGTCAATGGGTTACCGGTCCTTTATTAAATTTTAAAAAAAAACATTTTTTTCGCATGATACTAAATTACAAATTATGACGGATCCAAAGTAGAAACAGATAAGACATATTAACCAAAAAAAATCTATAGAAAATATAATATAGCCAAATGTCAACTATGTTTTTTTACTATTTTAAAGCAACCTTTGTCTGGTAATGATTACTTTAATTACAGAGCTTTCTCTATTTAAAGAGTGATTTTTGTCGGAATACGATCTTGTAATCTAGTCACACAAGTGATAATTAAAACTATATCCCACTAAATCAATCCATTTCTATGTTTAAATTTAAATAATTAAAACTCTTAAAATATTTATAATTGTAAAGTTCCAAATGAAAGTAAACTATCTTTTTATGTGTATGTATATATCTTAAATATGATGTATATATTTTGATTAGCACGAAGAAAGGCGAAAATGTGTGTGTCTTATAAAGCATCCACGAATCACTCTATTACTTTCAAATTCTAGATTTGCCCGTATGACTTCATGTTATTGTTTTTGTACTTCAAAAGAATATAATGTATCAACTGTTTCTATGCTACTTATTCTTAAATTCAGAAAGAGGAAAAGCACAAAAAGATTTCGAGAGACAAACCTCTCATTTCAAGTTACTGAAGATGCACCCCACTCTGGTCCAAATTAAGCTACTCAAGTTTTAGAAAAAATGACACAACTTAAATAGATTATCACTAATTTTACAAGACAAACTAAATACTAACTTGTTAACTTCTTGTTCCAGAGAAATACCAAAAGAATGACAAAACAGAACAGATATATTTGAGCATTTTTAACTAATTTGTTCCTTGAAGCTATTATTGACTAGAGAGTCCTTTAAAATGTAATCCCATCAAAGAGAAACATTATTATCTTGGTATGGTGGTGGCAAATGGACAGATTTAGACAGACGGAAAATGGATTTAAGAATAACTTATTGCGTTACAACTCACCCATTTTAGTAGGAGTAAAAAATAAACGGGAGAAAGAAATATCTCACATATTTTTTTCTATCTTCATTTTTCTAAAATCTCTAAGATAAGACACTATCACTATCTCCTCAAAAATAGGCCTTGCTAGCTTCTTTGTTTTTGTAAATGGAACTTCTTATATATTTATATATATATATATATATATATATATTATCACCGGAGAATATATACCTAAAAACTATTATCTAAGAAAGAATTAGAGACCTTATAAGAACAACAAAAACAGGTAGAAATAGAAATTGGTAAAACGTTTCTGATAAGACTTACTTTCTTACACGGATGACTTTACTTAGTGAGATTGAAAAGTCTATAAAGATAGCACGGGTATGTAAAGTGAACTGATGTTTAAACACAAGTGATGCACTTAAACAATGTTCATGTATATTTCAACTTACGCCTGCAGCAGAAAATGCTACACTTTTGCGTAGGATTTGATGTCTTGAGAGACTACACAGCATCTATTAATATAGGACGTTTATGGAGCCAAGAGAAAACCAATCTGAGAAAGTCGAAACCTTCAATAACAAAAGCCAGCAAATAAGGCCAACAAAGAAAAAAGCTCATTAAACTCTAGCTGAGATTTAACCAAAACAATTAGCATTCAACTTTACAGTCAATGCAGATGATTTATGCATGACATAGGACAGCATCTTTCAAGATGAGTGAGTCCAGATCAACCAAACCACCATGTATTCAAAGTATGCAATCCTTATCAGGGAGATAGCTATTATATAAACTAAAAACATTAGAACTACATCCAATAACTAAAACAGTAACCATATTATCAAAAAACTTGAATATAGATATAGATATGGTCTCCATATAACTATCCATAACACAAAATCATCTATTGAAAGACAATGTAACACAAAATAAACATCCATAATATCTAAAATTCAACAGTGCAACATAGGAGAAGGCAAAAAAGGAAGTTCTGGATGACTTCAGAGGCAATCTAGAAAAGTGAGGTTCCCTTTCCTTTCTTGTCCCCACCTATTTCAAAATGCTTGCACCTCTGCATAAAAAAGAAAATGATTTAACTTACCGAATATGCAAAATAAGCACTACTACATATAACAGTGATCAAATTCCATTAACAAACCTTGATTGGGTGCTGTGAAACATGTTTGCAGCCTTGGCACTGCAGCCTCAACACAATCTTCTTTGTGGTTTTAGCCTGGTTGTATCAGAAAAAAGGAAGAGGTCAGTTATTCATTAACCAATAGACCAAATATAGTGCTAAATCAGTGAATGGTTTTTCATACTTGCTGAAATTTGTTTGTATATCAATGTTACTTTGTAAAAGAGAATGCACATATCTATTCTGGATATGTTACCTTTTTGTGGAAGACAGGCTTGGTCTGACCACCATAACCTGATTGTTTCCTGTCATAACGACGCTTCCCCTGAGCAGCCAAGCTATCTTTCCCCTTCTTGTACTGTGTCACCTTATGCAAGGTGTGCTTTTTGCACTCCTTGGACTTGCAGTAGGTCTTCTTTGTCTTGGGAACGTTCACCTGCAAGAAAGAGTCACAATGAAAGATTAATATATTAAGCCACATGGAACATATGAAGGCTTTATTACATGCCAAAAGCAGGTAGAAAGCAAATCAACAATACTGGAGAAAATCATAACATATCTTAAGAAAAATATTCTAAACGATGATAATGTTCGTGTCCTAAAGTTCCTCATCAAACAGAATAAACCATTAGCACACAGTCTATAGGCTACCCTTCAGTCTCCAATTCTGGTGCTCATTTCATTTCAGTACAAAGTCTTCCTTTCAAAATTATAGGAGCTAGAACATCAATCAAAGTTAAGTTGCACTTGATGCTTAATGATTTCATTACTATTTTTTATTATCTGTTGTGTTTTTATGTTGTTTTTAACATTGCTTTGTTATAAAAAAAAAAACTCCTTCATTCTCTACCTCACTCTACATTCCCCTCCCCAGACCATACTTAGTGGATTTACGCTGGGCATGTAACTCTTGAGCTAGGCCCATAATTAATCCTACATGATTACAGCATAGTGATATGGACTTGCTGCTATTCAATTATTAAACTGAAATGTGCTCAATGGGTACAATTCTACCAAGGAATCAGGAATAAATACCGAAAACCGCAACTACAAAAACTATATATCAGCAAACAAGAGGAACAAATTAAAAGCTCGTTCGATTCATGTACTGGATAACTTTACGATTCATCATTTCATCCAGTTTCTGAACTGAATGGGTACTTTACTATCACACAGTAAATCAATAAGAAATCAAAGAGGCGGAAAGAAGAAGCAATACCATTTTCGCAGGCCGAGAGGTTAGACAGAAATAGCAGAGAGCACAATCGCCGTTCAGCTGGTGCCGATCGAAAGCCCCAAGACACAAGAAGATGATAACTTTTATACTCCGACTTAGGGTTATGAACGATTAGGCGGGGTGGGTGGGCTCTGCTAGTGGGCCGAATCTATTGGGCTATAGTTGAGGACATTTTATTGGGCTTAATATTGTATGGACTAATTAAGCGGGCCTGTTACATGTGAGTTTTCAAATTATAAATTTAGTATTCTAAAATTCCTTTTTAAAAATATCTGATTCCGCTACAATTAATTAATTGATTTAAATCATACTCAAATAAATTTTGATTAGGTAAAAGTTCTGTGAAGTTTGATTTGGGAATTGATCAATTTGAATGTTTTCAGTTATGAAGAACATATATGATAAAATCAAGACTAGAGCAAAAACAGTGGGAAGAGACGAATCACTTTTTAGTTTTGATAGGTTGCAACTTGCATCAGATATCAATACTTTAACATGTATTTATTTGCTTTGATAAACGGTGTACATTGACGAGACAAGAATAGCGATCGTTGTTAAAGCTAAACTAGAGTTTTGAAGATAAATTTAGAATTTAAAGGTTTTACGTTGGTTAGAATCAAAATAAATATTTGAAGTGTAAGTTCAGTGATGTAACATATAAAATCGATAAGCAATGAAAGTTTGTTACACATTATAAATGTCAGACAAGAAAGAGAAAGTTTCAAGTATCTTAAATCTATTATCAAAGAGAGTAGCAAAATCGATAAAGACGTCACATGCCATATTAATGCGGGGGGAATGAAATGGAAGCTAGTATATGAAGTCTTCATGTTATAAACAATTTGTCATAAGAATTCAAAGATAAATATCTACATAGTCGTAATTAGATCAATTTTACTATGAAGGGGAAGTATTAACCAATTAAAACTTTTACATTTCGAATATGTAAGTTAAAGAAAGAAAAACATTATGACGAACTTTTAGACATATTATGAAGAGGAAAAAAAAGATTAAAAATGAAACATTATGACGAACTTTTAGACATATTATGAAGGAAAAAAAAAGATTAAAAATGACAATTGTATGCGACTAGAATTTTGTTGATCAACGCTAAAGGGCAATGATTGTTTTACGTATTTATTTACCTGTTCTTTTAATCTTATGAGAGCTCCTTTATATATGTGTGAGCTAGATTTTTTGGAATATTTTTAATTCAAATAGTTTAGAGGATTTTGGACTTGAAGAATAAGTTTTGTATTATTGATTTAATGGAAGAGCCCAAATATATTTTGAACTTTATTTAAATCATATTATTTTAGTTAAAAATATTAATGTAATTTTATTAATAATCAACAAATGTAATGTGAATTTATTAATCTCAAATAAAATGATAACAATTTTATTAAAAGTATCAAATTCGACATCCAATTGAAAATTAAAAAACTTTTAAAACCTCAATCTCCAAATCAAATATCTAAAAGAATTAAAAAAATATGATTCTATTTTTCAAATTGGTCCAGAACTATGGCCACCCACTACACAACATTAATAATATTTTGTTTAAAGAATGGATCCCTTATGCTTAGGGGCTCCCCCGCAGAAGAACGTTACAAAAGGGTCCCACCACAAAGTGGAGTGGTCTCAGCCGGCTGCTTTGAAGGGTTAACACTAATAATGTTCACATGCGTGTCTACTCACTACTTATAATTTTTTTTTTTCCTTTCGTATTCGATATTTATATTAGAGTCTGATTAAATTTAAATTTTCGTCAAAAATTTCATAATAAAAAATAGAAAAAATTGTATATAATAGCAAACTAATAACCTAAAATAAATGGAGTAGCTAGGATTTGATTTAATTGTGTTCTATAGCAAACGTTTGTAAAAAATTGTCAGTTGCCTCTCTCCAAAATATCTCACATGCCACTCTCCTCCAATCTCTCACTCGTTTCCTCACTTTTTATACAAACACAAGTGCATAAAAATTGTTTCTAATTGTATAAAGCAGAGAAAATGGTATAAACACATATATTTTGTTCCCCTCTCTTCACTCTTTCAGATCTCGCTCGCCACTCTCCCAAATCTCGCTCGCCACCCTCGCATTTTTCACTTATACAAACAGAAGCGAAATGTATAAATTGTGTTTCTATTTGTCTAAATCGTGAGAAAATTGTATATACACATGCAAGTACATATATTTTTGTCCTATACACTTATAATTATACGATAAAAATACTCTCTTGCCCAGTTTCTTTTGTCTTTCTCTCTTTCTCGTTTTATACAATTTTCAAATTGTATCTAGTTTCTCTCTTTTTTCGTTTTATACAATTCGATTCAATTGTATATTCCTTGTCAAGTCTCTTTAGTCTTTCTCTCTTTCTCATTTTATACAAATTTAAATTTAATATAATCGTTCTATACACTTATAATAATACAATTCGTTTTATACACTTCGTTTTTATACAATTATCTATCTAAGTGTCTTTCTCTTTCTTGTTTTATACAATTTACCTCAACTGTATATGTATAGTGAATTTTATACAGTTTTTATGTTTGTTATGGAACGCGATTATACAAATTTTGATATAGTATATAAATATGAATTTTTTATTTGCTATATATGAAAGTTGCCTTAAAAAATAAAATGCATCCTAATAAAATGATTTCGTATTAAGAAAATGCAAATTCAAAAGTTCTTAATTAAGAATGAAAAAATACTTATCACTCTATCCGCACTCGTTAGACTCCACTTCTGTCATCTTCCACTGGCACCACCTCACCCGGAGATCCATATCATCATTATATCATCACTCCCACATGTCCTATCATTCTTCATTTTTCCAATATTTCCTCGTGGATTCTTCACGTCTCTTCCATCTCCTTTTTCCCCTTTTCACTGTTCTCTCCCCCATTCCAACTTTTTCTTTTACCTCCACGATATTCGATACGAAGATATTTTCTATTAAAGATTTTTTGATATCAAAAAAGTCTAAGTTCAAAACATAATATTGATTTGAAATATCATTTCCCGTTAAGTTTTATATAAAAATTGTGTGGTAGATATGCTAATCATTAAAAAAAAGAAAGTTATATATGGATGATGTAAATTAAATTATTTTTAAATTTAGAGTGTATCCGTTTAGTACAAATACGATAAATATAGAGAGAAGTATTTTAAAACGAAACGCTAATAAAAAAGTATTGCTTGAGAGCTTGGATTCCACTCGTAAATGTCATATTTTGGGTGGATGGTTGTTGGCCTAGGACCGACCACCACCTGCAGACAAGAACCCCTTTAGAAGTAACTATGGCATCATTTATACATTTACTATAATGCCCTTTTCTTACTCCTTTAACCACTCACCCCATAAATGTATAGATTTTACCTGATAAAATTAACTATCAAGCTATATACTAATTTTTTATATAGTTTATAAATGTATAAATTTTATTTTAAAAAGACCGAAGAGTTTATGAGCAAACTGTAGATCATACGTAAATTGTTTGACTTTTGAAAAATAAAATTTATCCCATAAATTAAGACATAGAGTAACATTTTCTTTTTACATGTTAGTCACTAAAGCTAATTTTATCCATCGTCTTAACATGTTTTGGCTTTATATATTTATTTTAGTATAATTCTATTAGATAAATATTGAAAATATTTTAAAATTTGACTTAAATTATTAATTGTATTTTTGAATTATTGATTGTTTTAAAAACACTTATCTACTTGACCTACTAAACTTAAATACATCTTTATCTTATAACATGAACGAAATATACTTTTAAGTTTTCATTAAGTTTAGAAGTGTTTTTTATATTTTTTATTTTCATACAAGAATTTGAAACCATTTAATACATCATGTGACAGATCATGATATATTCGAGTTTAATTAAATGAATGTTTTTTATAACTGCCAATAGTTTAATAACTAAACTATTGTTTGCATTAAGTTTATACGTATTTTCAATCCTTTTATTTTTTTTAATGATTTTCTTTTGCTTTTTACTGTAATATTATTTTAATAAATTTCTATTATTACAATATTTTGTTATTTTCGTTTTTCACATTCAAATAGAATTTTTTTTTAAAACAACTTTTCTACCGTTCGTAGTAAAATATTCATACACTTTATAATTTATTTTACAAATTGCAAAGTATTATTCTTAAATTAGTGGCATATATAAAATTTGAGGATAATACTTGGAATGCGAAAAAAATGGAGTTTTAATGCTTTGGGGGTAAAAAGGTAAATAAAAGGGTAACGGACAGGTTAGTGGTGGGAAAAGGAAAAGAAAGCTGTCAAAGAGAAAGACAAGGGGAAAAAGGAAAGAAGGAAGATTTCTTCAACGAGTGAGTCTTGTGATTGTATCACCAACACCAATACCAATACCAATACCAACGCCAAAACCAACAAATGGAATCGTTTTTCTTAACCGAAACCTTTCCCCACAACTATTACACCTCCACCACCATCACTTCTCCCCATCTACTATTCTTATGCTCCCATTCTTCTCTCTCTTCTTTTTTTACATCTAATTTCCAGGTACCCATTTTCTTCTCTTTTGTTTATTTTTTTTTATATCAACATTTGGGACTTGGGGTTGTTTTGTTTTTAATCAACATTTTGGACTTGGGGTTTTCTTGTGTTTGATGTTTCTTGAGTTTTCTGTTGTTTAAATGAAACATTTACGACTTGGGGTTTTCTTGTTTTTGGTTCTTATCAACGTTTTGGACTTGGGGTTTTCTTGTTTCTTGAGTTTTTATCGACATTTAGGACTTGGGGTTTTCTTGTTTTTGGTGTTTGAAGGATCGATCAATCTATAGGGGTATTTTCTTGATTCATTCTTGGGGTTGAGTTATTGATTTTGGAGGTTTTTATTGAGATCTTGTTGGTTTCGTTGAATATTGAGGTTGTTGGATTTATCTTGTGCTATAATTTCAGGAATATGTTTGGAGAAGGTAGCAGTGGCAACGGTTTATTTCCGGCTTCATTAGAGGGGAATCGTTTCCAGTATGATATGACTGCATTGCCTCAGCTGCAACTGTTTGGGGATGGTG